CCTTTTATCGTATGTTTCATCCTCAACCTCCGCCTCAAGCCGCCGCTGCGCACGGGCTCTTCCGCCCCTCCCCGTTGTTCGAGTGGGGGATCGACTACAGAATAGGTTTACCCTCAAATTGGTTGGTTCGCCGAATCTACAAACAATACATCGAATTGTAGTGTTTTCCGTAGGTTCGGAAACATGATGCAGATCGAAGACGCCTACGGCGAATCACCGCCGCCCCATGCATTCTAGAATCGCCCATGTGGCCAAGCGTTGGCACGAGCTCTGCCAGGCCATTGGACCATGTGTTCCCCCAACCGTTGTGGAAACCATTCGGGGAACACTTGGGGGAGGATGGCGGGGAAGATCAGGAGGAGATTGAGGAGATTGAGGAGGAGGAGGAGGAGGAGGAGGAGGAGGAGGAGCATCTTGGGAGCCTCTGAGAACACTCTTGGGGCCTTCTGGGAGATTCCTGGGAGCCTCTTAGAGGCATCTTGGGGGTCTCCACGGGCCTCCTCCCTCTCCTCCCTCTCCTCCCTCTCCTCCCTCCTCCCTCCTCCCTCCTCCCCCGCGCGCGCGGCAGCAGGCGGTGCCCGTGGCCCGCGCCGCCTCGCTCCTGCGCGCCGCCGCCGCCGCCGCCCCCGCGGGCGCGCCCTTCCTGCAGTTCGGGGAGCTGCACCGGCGGCTGGCGGAGGCCCCCCCGGCCCGCCCGGCTCCGGGGCAACGGCAGGCTCGAGGTCTTCCGAGGCTCGAGGCTCGAGCTTCGGGGGGGGGCGCGTGCTCGAGGCTCGAGGTCTTCGAGGTGTTTTTCCCGCGTCTTCGTCGGCGCCCTCGGCCGTGTTCCAGCCTCGGGCCGCGGGGCGCCTTCGAGCGGCTGCGCCTCGCCGAGGGCGTCCCCAGGGGTGCCCGGATCGTCCCGAACGGCAGCCAGGGAGCCGAGACACGACCCGACAGCTACAGGGCAACGTTGGGGAGGGAGGCGCCTGGGGCGAGGAGATGGGATCGTCGTCGTCGTCGGAGGAGGAGGAGGAGAACCCGGAGGAGGAGAACCAGAAGGCGGAGGCAGAGGAGGAGGAGGAGGAGGAGGAGGAGGAGGAGAGGAGAGGAGGAGGAGAGGGAGGAGGAGGAGGATGAGAGAGAGGAGAGGGGAGGAGGAGGAGGACGAGGAGGAGGGAGGAGGAGGTAGGGAGGAGGGAGGAGGAGATGGAGGAGGAGGAGGAGAAGGAGGAGGAGGAGGAGGAGGAGGATGAGGAGGGGAGATGAGGAGTAGAGGAGGGTATGAGGGAGGAGTGAGTACTGAGAGGAGTGGTGACGGACGGACGAGGGAGGAGGGAGGCGTTGAGGAGGGAGGAGGGAGTAGGAGGAGGAGGAATAGGATTAGGACTGGATGGTACGAGTGACTGGAGGAATTGATGCGTCGTCTTATGCGGATTGTGCAGATGTGTCAGTTCTTTGATTCGTTCGGTCGTTGCATTGATTCGGAGCTGATGATGTATTAGGATGAGGAGGATTAGTAGGAGTGCTGATGAGCAGGAGGATCAGGATGTGGATGTGTGCTGGAGAGGGGGGTATGCCGAAGATGGTGCCTTGATAATAATAGGGACTTCGGATGAGGGATTCTATTGATGCTTGGTGAATTGGATGGACGTATATCAATTCTTTCCGGATGTAGAGAGGAGGGAAAGGAGGACGGAGGAGGAGGAGGAGGAGGTGCCGGCGGACGCGCCCGCGGCAGGGGCTCAGACCTCCAACTATGCAGTTTTGTTTGATTTGGGCGTTCTTCGGCCACGCGCAGAGGAGGGAAGGGGGAGGGGGGAAGGCGTCTTAGAAGCACCCCTGCTTCTTAGAGGGCGCGAGCCTCATCTACAGATGTAAGGCTGACCCCTTCTAAGAAGCAGCCTCCTTCTAAGAAGCCTTCCGCCCTCCCCCTTACCCCCCTTGCGCGCGCCGCCAAGCTCTTCCTCGATCTCGCCCAGGGACCATCAAACATACAGTCGGACCGCTGAAGAAGGAACACTTCGCGTTGGGAAGGGGCTCCGTGTTCCGTAGTTGCTTTTGCACCTTGTTCTAGGTTTCCCTTAGGCTTTCGATGGAAATCGAAGTTGAACTTCTGGGAAAAAGGGGCCTCGTTCCTCGTTTTAGGGCTCCTTCTGACAGGGGCCCGACTGTGGGTCCAGGGCGACAAGCTGGCCCCAGGGCCTCCGAACATGATCAGGAGGGAAAGAAACACACAGACACAATTAATCCTCGATTCCCCAGAAAATATAAGAAAATATGGGCAGTGGGGGGGGGAAGACAGAAACCCAGAAAATATATGAAAATATGGGGAATAGTTTTATTTGTGTGTATTTATTTGAGTGTCCTGGGGCCTCCGAAGATGAGCCCAGGCGTCTCGGAAAACTCGGCCCCGAGGTGGTCCGTCGTGTGCGAACCTCGGGGGCCCGCTGTCGGGCCCCGGGGCCATCGAGCTCGGGAGGGGAAAAGACGCGCAGACACAACGAGTCGTCGATTCCCCAGAAGATATAGGAAAATACGGTAGGTTCGCGTCGTGTCGACCGGCGGCGACCCCGCCGCCGACGTTCAACGTTGAACGCCGACGGCGGCCCAGAATCGGTCGATGTTGAACGATCGGACGTTGCGGAGACGGCCGATCGTTCAAGGTTGAACGATCCAGCGCGGTGTCAGGAACCAACGCCAGGGTCGACGCGGCACGGACCTGCAGCATGAGAAGTGGGGGTGGAGACAGACAAGGCCAGAAGATGTTGGCAGCTGTGGGGGATCCTGTGAATGATTTTGTGCCTGTTCCTATCTGTGTGTCCCGGGGCCCCTTCACAGACACGGGCCCCGAGGTGGTTCGGCCCCCGAGGAGGTTCGGCCCCCGAGGTGGTCCGCGAGGCCCCCGAGGTGGTTCGGCCCAGGCGTCCTGGAGGGCTCGGCCCCCGAGGCGGTCCGCCGTGCTCCGCCCCGTGGGGCCCGCTGTCGGGCCCCACGGGGCGCCAGCAAGAGCACGCCTCCGGGGCGACGGGCCGGCCCCGGAGAGTCAGTCAGGGGCAACGTCGGGGGGCGGGGGAGGGGGAGGAGGAGGAGGAGGGAGGAGGGAGGACCTACGCCCAGAGGGAGTGGAGGAGGGAGGAGGGAGAGGGAGGGGGCGGGTGAGGAGGATGAGATGAGGGAGTAGGATCGTGTCGGGCGAAAGGGGGGGATTGGGAAAGGGGGGGTTACGATATTTGCTGCATGCAGCTGGTTTCGGCCTCGCCGAGGGGCCCATTCCTCGATACATCGCCGCCTCCGGCGCCGGGAGGCGCCGGGAAAATCAGCTACGTGAGCTGATTCTCAAACCCCCCCTTTGCTATCCCCCCCTTTCGCCCGACCCGAGAGGAGGAGGAGGGAGGAGGGAGGACCTACGCCCAGAGGGCTGGTGGGATTGGTATGTTGGATTCCCTAATCCCACCAACCTTCAAGCACCCTCACACGTCAAGAAAGGATCGATCTGCTCTTGCTGCGTTTTGCTATCGTCTGGGAGGGCCTGAGCCCAATCTGCTGAATCCGCCTTCCTACGTCATGTTTCGACCAACTTCTTCTGCCCGACGTGTAGTGCTTGACCCTGGGGCTTCTTGTAACCAGCCCAGGGCTGGGAGAGGGCTCCGAGGGGCGGAAAACGTTGAAGCGCCAGCCGCCGCGGTATAGTCGGCCCGACCCTGCCAGCTCAAGGGTAGCCGCGCGACACACGTGCTTTCTTACACTCCTACGGCGATGTGGCCCTCGGAAGGGTCTTGTGTCCTCTCGCGTGTCCTCTCCAATCAAGGCCGACTGTATTTGGGTTCGACGTCCAGACCTGAAGTCCCATGCCGCCCCAGCGCGCCCTGCTCTTGAGGAAGGGCCTCACCAGCGCGGCGACCAAGATCGGGTGGCGCAGGCCCCCCAATGAGTGGCGACTCCTTGAGATCCGATGTCACGAAAACAACTGCAACATCGCCGGAAATCAGGACCGTTTTTTTGAATTCAATAAACTGCATTTTTTGAACTCAAAAAACCATCCGTGTTTTGGATTCAAAAACCAGAAACCAGCTTTCCATTTGAAAAGCCAGCTTTCAAAAAAAAAGATCTTGAATTCAACAAACAGCATCTTTCTGCTGCATTTCTCCGGCCCGATCGATCCGCGATGGAGCCCTGAAGGGCCGGACGTGGGGCGAGAGCGCCGCCCACTCCGGGCGAAGGCGCCTTGCGTGAGAGACAACATGCGACACCCAGATCTCGGGGAGTGCTGCCCCAACGCTCCAGCGGCCATCGGGCGGCCAGCCGGCGGCCATCCGCGGCGGTATCGGCAGCCTTCGCTCCCAGAGATTCCGCTCACTGGGTGTGCAAAGACGGGGCCCTTTGGGATTCCCCACCCCTTTCCCCGGGGGCGATTCTTCCTCCTCGGCTCGTTTCTGTTTCTGCCCTGCGAGGTCCAGGGAGGAACTCGGAATCAGGGGCGGCCCCGACCGACCCCTCGCCAACCATCCCCCTTGCGTGACGTCCCCCTCGCCTCCTCGCCGCTGGACGTCTCTATGCGGCCCGAGCGGAGCTCGAGAGCGGCGAGGGTGACGTCACGGAAGGGGCTGCTTTGCGCGTGGTCGGTCGGCCAGGCCGCGCCCGAAGGGAACATTTTTTGGCGGGTGGGGGGATGCTCGCAGCGGGCGCAGCCGCGACGGGAACGGCCCCGGCCGCCCCCAGCGAGGGACCCCGGAGGCCGGGGGCGGCGGAATCATTCCGAGCGCCTGCATGCTCAACGCGCTGTGGAGGTCTGGGCTTCGGCGGCGGCCGCCGGCAGACCTCGTGCCTTCGGCGGCCGCCGGGGCGGCCCTTCGCAGGAGCTGCTTTTCGACGCTGCCGCTTCGAGTCGATTCGGTTGCGAAAAGGCTCCGAGGTCGACGCGAGATGCGACTCTGGACCCCGACTTCGGTCTAGACCTCCTCTCGTGCACGCCCCGGCTTTAAAGCCGGCGAACGTCGATATCCCCAGGGGAACGAGCA